GTCTCGATGATTGTAACATCGGGATGAGCTTATATCTTTGAAAATCTCAATATTTCACAAGATAAAAGGTAATTTCTTAATTATGTATCTACAGATTTGTTAAACTGCACTCTACTTTTTTAAATATTGATGTTTTTACCGATGTTACATTCATCAAGAGCTTTCATTTGAGTACTCACATGCATTTTTGATATATTTTTCATATATACATATATATAATATATATAAATATATGAAAAATTGATGTGGGTACTCAAATGAAAGATCTCGATGAGTGTAATGTCGGGATGGGCTTATATCTTTAAAAATGTCGATAGTTCACAAGATACAAGGTCATTTCTTAATTATTTTAAATCGCACGGTACTTTCTTAACTATTGATATTTTTAAAAATATAAGCTCATCTCGATGTTACACTCATCAAGAGCTTTCATGTGAGTACCCACATCAATTTTTCATATATTTATATATATTATATATATATATGTATATATAAAAAATATATCAAAAAGGGATGTGGGTACTCAAATGAAAGGTCTTGATGAGTGTTACATCGGGATGAGCTTATATCTTTAAAAATGTCGATACTTTACAAGATACACCTTAATTTCTTAATTATGTATCTAGAAATAGAGTATTTTCAAATGCAGCCTAAATACTTATCCTGGAGACAAAATTCTATTCTCTTAATTATATAGAATAAAATTTTTTCAGATATTTTTATTTTAATAAATTTAATTTATTTAATAAAATTAAAAAATTGTCATATGTCTGCTAATTATAAAAAAATACATTAAGAAATATTTTGTTTTCAAATAAATAATTAATTTTTTTCAATAAATATTTCTTAGTATAAAAAAATTTTTTTCACTCCTAAAATTTAATTTTATTAAAAAAAAAATTATCATTTTAAAGATTTGAAGATGGAACGCTATCATTTCTCTCAATAATCGCCCTGCAGCACGGCTTAGACGCTCTATCAAAACTTCCAATGCACCAAATATCAAGCCACGTCTTCTCCCTGGCTCGGTATGTTCACCACTATCTCCAGAGTTTACACCACGCCAACGGTAACCCAGTGGTCGAATTGTACAGCGACTCTGACTATGAAGACCCGCTACAGCAAGGCGGTATCATAGCTCTAAATTTCCTCAAACCGAACGGCGAATACGTGGGATACATGGAAGTGCTCCACATGGCTTCGCTTTTTAAAATCCACCTGCGTACGGGCTGCTTCTGCAACCCAGGAGCATGTCAGCGTCACTTGAAGCTTTCTATCCAAGACATTATCAGCAATTACGACGCTGGGTACACTTGCGGTGGAGGAAAAGATTTAATTGACGGGCGACCAACTGGCGCTGTTAGAATTTCTTTTGGATACATGTCAACCTTCGCTGATGTTGAAGTATTTATTAAAATGCTTCACAAGTGCTTCATTGACTTGCCAGCAATGATAAAAATTTCTCAGATTAATTTTATTAATAATATTAATTCAAGCAGCAAAGGAAGAAATAAAATTCTAAATTTAGAAAATTTTAAAGTTGAAGAATTAAAAGAAAATTTAAAAATTAAAATAGAAAAAATTGATGAAAAAAAAAATAATGAAATAAAATTAAAAAAAATATTTATCTATCCAATAAAATCATGCGGAGCTTATCAGGTCCCGCAAAAATGGATAATAAATAATAAAGGATTAAAATATGACCGTGAGTGGATGATTATAACTGGAGCTGGTGTCTGTCTTACACAGAAGCAAGAAGTTAAATTATGCTTGCTAAGACCGACTTTAAATCTCGAGGAGAATTTTATGCGGCTGGAGTATCCAGGTAGTGTTGTTAAATTTAATTAATTATTAATTGAAATAAGATACAAAAAAACTGCAGGGATATTTGTTTCCAGGTATGCTGGATATTGAAGTCCCCTTGGAGAGTATTGGAGATAAAAAAGTCGACGGTGAAATTTGTAGGAGCAGAGTTTGTGGTCACAGAGTCGAAGGAATCGACTGTGGATATGAAATATCAGAGTGGCTTTGCCAAGCTTTGGGAAGGTCTGATTTAAAATTGATAAGGCAGAATTTGGATGATGGAGAGCTGTCTTTTTCTAGCCAAGCGCAGTATTTATTGATTAATTCTGCGAGTATCCAGTGGCTTGTTGATCGGCTTCCTGGAGACTCTGATTGTGATAAGAATACTGTTTTAGATAGGTTCAGAGGAAATTTTGTTGTGGATGGAGCTGAAGCGTTTGAAGAAATTAATTGGAAGCAAGTTTTTATTGGAAAACATTCTTTTGAGGTAAGATGGTATCTTTAAAGACAAAATGTGGACAAGATAGGATCATAATAACAATTACATTATTATTTCTGCGACTTTTCAAGGGCAGTAATACATCTTTACTCCAAATTACTCAACTTGGCGACATACTGTACTCAACCTAAAAAATTGAATAACTTTCAAAGAAAAAAAAAAAACTTTATTCAATTCATTTACTACTCAATGCTAACTTTACTCAACGCTAAGTTTACTCAGTTCCAACTTTATTTAATGAAATCTTTACTTAATAGTATTTTATAAGTGATAGCGCGCTTTTCAAAATCTCTATTTAATATTTTTTGTATTTAATAATATTTTATTCGGCAAAAACAAAACTGTACTCAAAATTTCTCAGCTCTGTGCAATCTGTACTCCAATAAAATAATTTAATAAATTAAAAAAAAAAATTTTTACTATATATAGATATATAAATTATATGTAATTGAGTAAAGTTGACATTGAATAAAGTTTGTAAAACAAGAGAATTTTATTTTTTAAAAATAAAATTATTAAGTAAAGTTTTTTTTTTAACTTATTTAAAGTAAACATATTATTAAATAAAAAATAATTGAATAGAGATGTTTAAAAGCGCGCCATCACTTATAAAATACCATTGAATAAAGATTTCATGAAATACAGTTGGAACTGAGTAAACTTAGCGTTGAATAAAGTTAGAATGGAGTAAAGTTGTCTTTTTTTTTTTTTAAGTTTTTCGATTATTTTTATTGAGTACAGTATGTCACAGAGTTGAGTAATTTGGAGTAAAGATGTGTAACTGCCTCAATATTATTCATTTTTATAAGAAAGACACGGGAATGTTATAATGATTGCACATTGAAAGTTACAATTAATATTAGCTAGAATAATTACATGGATAAAAGGTGCATGCTAATTCGACAGAATTTGGAATCTGTGCAAGTCAAAACGATACTCTAATTAAATTTCAAGTCTAGATCTAAAAATGCAATTCTATAAAGCGTCCAGCGAAGCGGGCGAGTGACAGCTAGTTTACCATGATACGAATTACAACAATCACTATCGTGCACAGTTTTGCCTTCGTCATATAAATTGTTACAAAAATTGCATGTGTCGTGTTTATACTTTATTTCTGTAACAATATTAATAATCAACAAATCTATTAATTTTGTTAATTTTGTAACAATTTATATGACAAAGGCAACTGTACAATGTAAGATAGCCCTGATTAAAAAAAAAGGATTGAGACAAAAAAAAGTATTGGTTTTTTAGTCAATCCAATAATTTTTTTTTGTCTCAATACTTTTTTTATTCAAGGAGTGATTGTTGTAATTCGTATTGTGGTAAATATTATAATTATATCAATTATTATTTTATTTTGTTCGTTATTAAAATGTGTAATTTTCAGATGCTTAAAGAAGGTCTAATAAATGACCGAAACGTCGCAGAAATAATAATTTAATTGTTATTATCATCCTATCTTGTCCACATTCCTATGATATAAAAATAATTATTGATAATTATGGACGATTATATTAACAACAGTAATTAATTAGTTTTGTTCTTTAATTTAAGGTGACAGGACAGTGTACGAGATGCCAAATGGTATGTATCGATCAAAAGACAGCAATGAAAACAATAGAACCATTGAAATTAATAGCTGACAAATTTAATGGTAAAATGAAATTCGGGATTTATTTAAAAAAAATATTAGTTAGTAAAATTGAGTGTATAAATATTGGTGATTCTATTGTAACTATCAGTTAATAATTATTTACATGAATATCTAGTACTTATTAAATTAAAGTGATTTTTTTTTCTGTTATGTATTCTATGTATCTGTTTTTTTTTTCTGGTAAATAAATGATTAATATTATTATTATTATTATTATTAGTATTAATCTCATGTAGAGTATATTTATTGTAGAAAAATACTTTTTTACATAAATAAAATAAAATAAAAAAAAAAGTATACCTTTTTATAAACACTTAACGTTTCACATTATAATACAGTCAATTGGCTGCTGTTTGGTTATTTTTCTAGGAGGCTGACCTGCGGTAACTTCTTTGACAACGTCAATAACTTCGTTGTACTCAGGGAACGCCATTGTTTGTGATTTTGAATAAATTAATTCGTCGTTTATTTTTATTTCAAATGAACCTAGTAATTAAAAAAATTCTAAATAATTTTTGTTTTAAATATTATTCTGTTAATAATTGCCTTGTTTGCCAGGTTCGCCGGATATTTTGACATCTGGAAAATTTTTTTTTATTAAATCAGCCATTTCAAGGAATTGCTTTTTGTGACCACAGGAACCACTGAAATTAGTATGAAAATTAAGTTAGCCGACATCTCAAAATTTTTAGAATTTTTTTTAATTAAAAAATTATTACAAAAAATTCAAAGAAAAAATTTCATTTATAAAAAACTTGAAAAACTGTAAATGCAATTTTTTAAATATATTTTTTTGTTCTAATTTAATTAATTAAAAAAAATTAAAAATGTCGGCTAACTTTAATTTCATAAATTAGTTTAATTAATTATAATTATTATTATTAATGATACTGAAGTATAACTGACAACTATCAATTTTTTTTTAATTTTTATAACAAGTCAATTTCTTACATTAAAAAAAAAATGACATTAAAGTTAGCTGTCACTTGACCAATTTTTAATTATATTTAACAATTAAATTAATTCTAAAAAATTAGTATTAAAAAAATTGCATTTTTAATTTTTTAAAAATTTCTACAGTCAATTTTTTTTTCCATATTTATTTGTTAAAAAAATTCTTAAAATTATTAAATATCTGCTAAATAAATACTTTTTTACATAAATAAAATAAAATAAAAAAAAAAGTATACCTTTTTATAAACACTTAACGTTTCACATTATAATACAGTCAATTGGCTGCTGTTTGGTTATTTTTCTAGGAGGCTGACCTGCGGTAACTTCTTTGACAACGTCAATAACTTCGTTGTACTCAGGGAACGCCATTGTTTGTGATTTTGAATAAATTAATTCGTCGTTTATTTTTATTTCAAATGAACCTAGTAATTAAAAAAATTCTAAATAATTTTTGTTTTAAATATTATTCTGTTAATAATTGCCTTGTTTGCCAGGTTCGCCGGATATTTTGACATCTGGAAAATTTTTTTTTATTAAATCAGCCATTTCAAGGAATTGCTTTTTGTGACCACAGGAACCACTGAAATTAGTATGAAAATTAAGTTAGCCGACATCTCAAAATTTTTAGAATTTTTTTTAATTAAAAAATTATTACAAAAAATTCAAAGAAAAAATTTCATTTATAAAAAACTTGAAAAACTGTAAATGCAATTTTTTAAATATATTTTTTTGTTCTAATTTAATTAATTAAAAAAAATTAAAAATGTCGGCTAACTTTAATTTCATAAATTAGTTTAATTAATTATAATTATTATTATTAATGATACTGAAGTATAACTGACAACTATCAATTTTTTTTTAATTTTTATAACAAGTCAATTTCTTACATTAAAAAAAAAATGACATTAAAGTTAGCTGTCACTTGACCAATTTTTAATTATATTTAACAATTAAATTAATTCTAAAAAATTAGTATTAAAAAATTGCATTTTTAATTTTTTAAAATTTCTACATGTCAATTTTTTTTTCCATAATTTATTTGTTAGAAAAATTCTAAAAATTGTTAAATGTTTGAAAAAAATTTATAAAAATAAATTTTTTTAACTTTCACATGTGGAATTTTTTTTTTAAGATAATTTTAATGAAAATTAATTGAGCAGATATTTGATAATTTTTTAGAATTTTTGTAACATATAAATTATGGATAATAATAAAGTTAGCCGACATTTTTGATTTTTTTGTTATACTTAATTTATTTTAAATTATAACTAAAAAATATTTTTAAAAAATTGCACTTATAGTTTTTGAAAAAATTTTTTTCTCATTTTTTTCTAATAATTATTTAATAAAAAAAATCATAAAAATTTTTAGATGTCGGCTAACTTTATTTTCATAAATTATGGCACAAAACTTAGAAAAAAAATCAACATGTAGAAATTAAAAAAAAATAAAATACAATATTTTTTTAAAGCAAATTTATTTGTTAAGTAAAATTAAAAAATGTTCAAATGACTGCTAATTATAATGTCATTAATTATTGTTATAAAATTCTAAAAAAATTTTTAATGTCATTTAACTTTAATTTCATAAATATTAAAATTTATTAAAACTTTTTTTTAGAGGTTATGAAAGTACACTAATTTATTTTAATTAAATACTCAATTTACCAGTACTCAACATCAATTTTAACTTCAACCATGATTTAAAATTTTATAATAAAAACTTGCGGTTTATTTTTATTATTTATTAAAAAAAAAAGTGAACGTTTAACACCGGCTAAACTCAAAAATTAATAAAGAAAAAAATTTTTTTAAATGTTTATTTTTACACTGTCAGATCAAAACCGATGATACCCGAAATTTAGACTTCGGCCGAGAAATATACATATATATTTTAATTATTTTAATGCGTATATGTCAATTGCAATCTGCGCAATTTCACAAATAAATCCGAGTAACTACTTATGGTAAGGCAGAAATCAGTAACACATTTTTATTTTAAATTTCGCGCGCAAAGTTTATGGAAACGAACACAAGTGACGCTGTTGCGCGGACCGCTACGCTGGAATACTATTCTAGACGCCATTTTAGTTTTGTATGAGAAACTTGCCGGGTAGTTGGTCGGGTGACTTGCTCTGACAATTTTTAGATTTTTTATGGTTTTTTTTTAATGATTTAATACAAATTTATGATAAAAAGCTACCGAACATGGATAAGAATTATAATTTAGATGAATTTTAATATTAAACATGTTTTAATTACTAATAATCATTGATTTTGTAAGGATGACAGTTGAGCTGGCGACACGGAAGTACGTTGGAGAAGTTAAACCTTAATATCGAATGTTGCGGAGATGTTCGCGCTCTTAATTTGTCAGAACAAGCAAAGAATGATTAGTTATAGGTAAATTAATAATTATAATAATAAAATTAGTAGAATTTAATAGAAATTTTTTTTTTTAATAAAAAAAAATTCTATTCGTGGAATTTTTAGAAAAATTATTAATAGAATTAAAAAAAATACTTTTTTAGTACAAACTTATTGTTTAAAAAATTGTAAAATTATTATTTTTAGTATTTTCCAAATTTTTAGAAAAAAAATGAATTATTTCAGAATTTTATTTAAAAAATTATGAAAATTAAGTCAGCCGACATTTAAAAATTTTAAGAATTTTTTTTTATTGAAAAAATGATTACAAAAAAATAAAAAAAAATTTCACTTGTAAAAAAGTAAGTAAGATTAGTAACATTAATTATATAGGAAATGCATAAGTCAAAACGTCAGGTGGTTATAAATTCGTAATTGGCTCTCTTAGATACTAAAATGGTTGCTAGCACGCTGACCGTCAAGGGCTGATTAAAGCACATTATGTCTAATTTCATTTGATCATTGTCACATATGTAGTTACTTAGAGACATCAGTTTGTAAAGTGGAGAATTTCTAGCCAGGTTTGAATGGACTGAATGAAGATAAAACGTAGGGTTTGACCTAGTGTTAGCTTGTGGGACTGCTATTGCAAACTGTTGCAAAAATCTAGGACATTCTATGCTACTATTGAATAGGCCTTTTACAAAAAGTATCGAAGCACAGATCCTCCTCTCCTCCAGGGTGAGTAACCCAGCATCCAAGCAGAGAGAATGATATTCTGTGCCTCTTTCAGGATATATCCCATACTTTTTGTAAGCAAGGTACTTTAAAAATCTACGTTGGACCTTTTCCAGTTCCAGCTTATGCTTAGCATATAAAGGAGACCAGACCACTGCAGCATATTCCAGCTTAGGACGTACCAGCGCAATATAAAGTGTTAAGATGGCTTTAATGTTCGTAAACTTTTTAGTTAATCTAATAACAAAACCTAGTTATTAGATATTAAAAAATTTTTAGGCTATTTTCAGATAACATCACAGTGGCAGCTCCGGACAATTATTATGGAGCGTCTTTAAATTGTCTTAAATTAGTCTTAAAAAAATCTTAAAAAAAAATTTAGACTATTTTAAGATGGGTTAACAGCGACAGAGCCCCGGAACATTAAAACGGGAACGTCTTAAAAAAGTCTTAAAATTGTCAGATAATAATTTTTTTAACAATTTTAAATTCAATTTAAAAACATCTTACTCAAAGATATTGCGGTTAGAAAGTCGTAAAATCATCTAAAAATTAATTTTCACAACAAATTCGAGAACAAAATTTTCAAAAATCTGCTCTCGGAATTTTTCTTTTGGCGTCTTAAAAGAGTCTTAAAATAGTCTTAGTTTGTGTCACGTTTAAGATCTTAAACGAACGACAATTTTAAGACGATTTTTTTTACACGGGTGTTAAGAAATCCTTCTATCAGTGTGTCACGTATTTGTTACGTGACACCTTAAAGAGTTTAAATTTTTGTTTAAAAGAATAATAAAAATTTATAGGCAAAACGTATTTCTTACAAGTTTATTTAGTATAAACTTGAATTTGAATATAAAATAATTTTTTTATAGTTCGACTTTTTTTTTAAAGATATTTTTTACCTAGATTTAGACAAGTACTTTGTAACAACTGTTTTTTGCGACTTTCTTAGTAATGAAATTATTTATGTTTACTTAAAATTTTTTTTTTTTAATACAATCGTACCTCTATCGATTCCTACACAGAGCTTTAAGATTGATCTCTGAAAATTAACGACAAAATACATACATAAATCATTAGTTGTAGGTAATCCATTTATTAATTAGACACTTTAATACTCTCTAAAGTCTTTTGAGCTTGCGATAACGATACGTGGATGAATTAATACTCTCTGATGAATATAAGACTCTTGATGTGGTTTCTCAGAGTTGTATTCAAAAATTCCGACAAACCAGCTTCTGATTTATTAATTGTTAATGTTAAAATAATTATACTGAGATAAACTAGCTCCATTATATTCATCATAATTTTAAAAAACTTCTTTTTTGGTTAAAAGTATTTTAGTTTTCTTGAGAGATAATAATTGATCTGTTAGTATGAGAAAAAATTGAAGTCTTCATAATCAACCGCTGTACATGTTCAAGAATAAATTACTTCATTTATATTCATTTGATTGTTTCAAATAATTCTGCTTCTGTTAATAATTCTTCGACTTGCAATCAAGCAATTTATTTATCGATATTATTTATGTAAGACGTGCTTAGGAAATATAAATAGTGCCGTATATTTTTTTTTATGAATTGACATGACTTATTTAATTTTTTTCGCAATGAAAAATTAGACAAAAAATAATTTCTTGAATAGAGAAAAATTTTTTTGACTAAAAAAAATATTTTTTAAATTAATTTTTATTTCAAGAAGAAAATTTTTTTGTTTCAAAAAATATCTTACTCAAAAAGTCTATTTTTTGACCGTTCTCATTCATTTTTTTACTTCAAATTTTTTTCTGTGTATGATTAAACAGCGTAAAAAAATATCCTATTAATTTGATCTATTTTTTCTAGATTATTCCTCTGAAAATAACACAATTCCTGTTCACCCTCAAAAAATATCCAAACGATATGAAAATACTGATATTTTTAGACACAATTTATTCCTACCTCCCCAAATAATTCAATACGCAGTACAAATTGATTAAGCTTGTCCGTCAGAAAGTAACAACAAAAAAATTTGACTTTTTGATTGCTGAAATAACTATTTTATTCTCCTTGTTCTTATTGTTTTTACACTCTTTCTTTTATTTTGAAATACTCGGCGTCTCTTGGCTTGTAAGATCGATCACTTATTTTTTTTCCCTATTTTCTTTTTTGTAACTTTCGCTTTAGCAGTCAATTGCCGAGTTTGTTCATTAATTCTAAAAAAAAGTGCTCAAGGCGATGAAACGAACAATAACGAGATGTTTAAATTATGTTCAAGGTTTTTTGT